GCCGCCCCGTGCCCTCCGCCTTGCGGGCCCCAAGACATGTGCGCTCGCACCTGGCCCCTGAGTTTGCTTCCCACTGAAGAGAGGAACGGGATCCCGCCATCACCACGCCCCACACTCACCCAGCCTCTGAGCCGTGCACTTTGCACCTGGTGGGAGGGACAGGGGCCACCTGCTTTCCCAGAACGAGGGCCCCCTCACCCCAAACTCGCGGCAGCTTCACAGATGTGGCCACTGTGGTCCGGCTGGTGTGGCTGGCGGCCTCCCCGCCACCCCAGGCTAAGCCTATGCCTTCCTGCCACCTCCGAGGGCCTCTCTCCACAGGGACCTGGCGTCCAGGAGTCTCCGGGGAAGGCATTGGCCTCCGGGCTTGGGTAGCTGGGGGTGAGGCCATGCTTCTTGTTAGGGAACGGAGGTCGGGCTGCTCTGGACGACCCCAGCTGGCTGTGTCCCCCATTGTGGGCTGGGCAGGTGGACGGCAGAGCTGGGGAGCCCTGGGGCTATGTCCCCACACAGAAGGCATTAGCAACCCTGAGCTGTGCCCTCGACAGGGCCACGGACTGGGGTCTCGAGCTGCTTCTTGTCCCGAGCTCCTGTCCCCACTGGGCCCCTCTTCCTCCTGGTGCTAATTTGGGGACCCTAGGGGCCATCCCCGGCCTCTTCTCCAGACTGGGCCCGGGGTTCCCCCAGAAATCAGGCCCCGCCAGCCTGCTCCGGCAGCCTGGGATTATTTCTGGGCAAGGAGGTCCCCTGGGTTGGTGCGCGAGGACCCCCACTTGTCACCTGGAGCGACACTGCAGGCCCCTCTCGCTGGAGGTGGCCTGGGGGTCCCCACCTGGGGACAGCCACATTGTCCCCAGCCGCACATTCCGCAAAGGCCCACGAGCCCTCTTCCCAAGGGTTGGCTTTGGACCCTGGATCCTGACCTGGCCTGGTCCCTAGGGGCCTGGTGGCCAGGGCTAAGGCCGCCTTACCGCCGGGTCACCACCCATAGCCTCGAGGGCAGGCTCAGTGGCCACCCCTGGACTGGAGCCGGGGTCGCTGTCCAGGTTCTGCCCCTCCTGTGGCCGGGAGGAGGGGCCCGCTCTGGGGGTGACCTGGGCCATAGCCGTGGGGCCCCTGCACTTCCTCCCTCGAGTCTGCCCGCGTCCCTGAGCCGTGAGCCTTCGCTGAAGTGCCCTTGCTGCCCCTCTGCTTTCAGTGTGTGGTGAGGCCCCATGTTCTTGATTTTCCCAGAGAAGCAAATAAAAGTGTGAAGAGCCCAGTTCCTGGAGTAATTGGATTTCAGCAATGGGAAGGGTGCAGCCAGGCCAGAGGTGGGGTGGGGCCCGCTGGCGGTGCAGCCATAAAGGGAGGCCGAGCACTGCCTCCTGGGTCGGCCAGCTGCTCCCACTTGTAGCCAGTCCTGCCTCGCGGGCTCACACAGGCTGCAAGGCACCGGAGGCAGAGATCGATTCCCACCTGCTCCCAAGCAGCATCTGGGCAGGTAAGGCTGGGCATGGGGAGCTGTGCGCTGGCTGGCCTCGCTTCCTACTCCCTGGGTAGCCCTGGGTCCCACATCCACCACATCCCGTTCCTCGGGCTCACAGCCCGTGGGAGACGTCTCCAGTACTCTGGAGAAGCAGCCCTGGGAAGCACACATTTGGAAGGTTGCTCACCCTTAGGGGTCCCCCAGGTCCATCTGCTGCCTCTCTTGGCCTCAGTTTACCCATCTAGGAAATGAACTTTGGAAACCTGGAGTGAGTGTAGTGCTGATCTGGGAGCCGGGCAGTTAGGATCTTGTGTGTGCAGCACGCTGTTCCAGTCTCTGGCCTTTCCAGGCCTCAGTTTCCCCAAGTGTGGTTGTACAGTGGGGTACAAGAGGTGGAGGGCTCAGCTTCAACCCCGAGCACAATCACTGGGACCAGAAGCTTCCTGTGCCTTGGTTTCCATGGCTGTTAGCCAGGGTTGAAGGCTCCCATCTGTCCGGCCGCATCGGGTGCCTTCAGCAGCACACACCGGGCCGGGTCACCTCCTGGACTTGGGAGCTGGGGGCAGCTGTACCGGAAGAAGAGACAGAGATTCCGAGGGGCCCCACAGCGAGCCCCAGGGAAGCCCCAGTCCCCCTCAGCTGTGTCCCCACCCCTGTAGGGGGTGCAGTCTTTGCCCCAGCTGCCCAGAACCCCAAAAAGCGTCTGCTCAGAGACCTAGGATGGGGGACAGCTGGGCACCTGTGGGATTCTAGCTGCAACCCCGAGTTGCCGGGGTGCCACCCCCACTTCTAGAACAGAAGACGGGGCTCAGGGTCGAGTTGGTGGCGCAGGCCTGTAATCCCAGCAGTCAGGAAGCTGAGGCAGGAGGATCGCTAAAAGCTTGAGGCCAGCCCGGGCTACACAGTGTGTTCAAGGCCAGCCTGGGCTACATGGAGAGACCCTGTCTCAAATAAAAATTAAAATTTTAAATTAAAATGGAGCTCAGTGAGGTTGGAGGCTTCGACACCAGACCTGCTGACTGCCCATCTGGACAGAGGCCACCCAGGCAGGCCAGGCCAGCTGTAAAGGAGCCGGGACTCAGTTTCCCCATTCAGGACAGCTATGTGACCTTGGCCTGGGGTGTCCCTCTTTGACCAGAGCTAGGGAGTGGTGGGAGGCCCAGGTGGTGGCTGCAGGAGTTTGGGCAGAGTTCCGGCTACGCGGGCGCGGTGCCCGCCTCCGCCCAACCCAGGTATAGTCTTTCTCCTCTGCCCGCGCTGGACTTTGTTTCCGCGGTGGGTGTGGCTGAGGGGACCCGAGATCTGTGGGGCCTCTGTTCCCTGGCAGTGGGCAGGCAACGCCAGAGCTGAGGGCTGCAGGGAGCTGGCGGTGAGGCTGGGGCTGCCGGACAGGACTGGGGTGGGCTGGGGGTCTGGCAGGGG